GGACTTGCATATTTATATATTAATAGTAAACGGATGTGAGAATTGGAATTCAATTAGAAGTTATTTATAGTGATGTGGAAGTGACAAATTTATTAGGGTACAATGTTGGGATAAATAAGATATGTTGAGAATGTTCCATTAGAATTATTCGTATCCTGATGTACCCCATCAAACTGTTCTTGCAGCTGATCTTGCAATTCCTCATGAGATTGCCCCATTATTTCCATGATGATGACACAATAATATAAATAAATGATCTCGGTTTTACTGTTACAAAAACCTTTCATGAATTATTTACATGTATGTAACAATACTTAAAAAAATGTAATGCAAGTGCAAAAATGCAAAAATGGGAATGCAATTTGTGCAATGCAAATGTATGTATGAAAAAAGGTATCATTCAAGAGTGATCATCTTAAAACAACTTTTATTAAACACTAAAGTTTTTATATATCAAGCAAAACTTTACATATAAGGGATAGCTTTAACTCTCAATTTCTTTATTTCATTCAAAAGCCAAATTAATTTTCACTCGTGCTCAGCTGTAGAGTTTTCAATCTGCTTTAACTCTTGCGTAAAGCCAGCTAAATCAATCAGTTTACGAGCCACATTGCTCGCTTGGGTAGTAACTTCCTTTATAACATTATCTTTTTCCTTTAGCTTACATGTTAATTCATGTACTTGTAAACAATACTGTTCATTTTTCCTTGAAAGGGAATCTTTATGGTCAATAAGTTCTTGTACAGGATCCAAAAATGTCATCAATTTCTTATATTTGGCTTTAATGTCTTCTAGTTCAACTTTAATCCCATACTGATAGATATGATATGAATCTTCCATTTTAATTATGACCTTATTCAAAATTTGATTTTTGGCTTGACATCTATTCAACTTAATGTCAGTTGTATCGCGCATTTCTTCTGTAACCCGTAGATCATGAAAAAACTTCTTACCTTGATCTTCATGTTTCTTACAATTCTTTTTCAGTCTAGTGACCCCTGTTATCCACTCTTCCGGGGTATTTCCTAAACCAACCTTTTGAAAGGCTTGACTGATCATTTGGAGATCCTCACGCATAGTTTCCATTTGTGCCCTCAGTTTATCATTTTCAGTTTCCAAATGATGTATTTGTTCCTCATTCTTCAGCGGATTTCCTTCCTTCTGGATGCCACTATTGATATTCTTATATTTGAATACATTTGGTATCGATCTGCCAGGATAATCAGCGACCAAACTAGATTGATCCTGAGTTTCTGAAGTTGGGAAATGACTCTTAAATGATGATGATTTCTAAATACAGGGTTTTTTTCATCTCTGGAAACTTTTATAATTATTTCCTTAGGGTCTCTTGACGAATTGTTGGTATGGATGGTGACTGTGAAAAATTTCTCATATTGGTTAGGATCAAAAGTTCCTTGTATATATGAGATTGTAGTATTAGGTTCATTGAGCTCTCTCTCCTTTTGTGCAGGAGTCTTTTTTTCATTGGTCAAAACAGATATTCTATCCATTATCTTGGACATTTTCTCCTTTATCTCTCGTATCTCCTTTTGCTCTTCAACGGACATACAATCTTTGGGCACATAGCTCTCTTCTATCCTCGGATCATGATGTCCTTCCTTGGCTGTGTTGTAGTTTACTTGATCATGAAACCCTTTGACCATAACAAAAATCTTTTATTTTGATGATCACTCTTGAATCAACACCTTTGACCATGTCATGATTTATGCAATGCAAGCAAAAAAAATTAATATAAATAAATTAAAGCAAAAATGTGTTTTTTTACATAATATAAAAAATGGTTAGTATCACTTAATGGAAAGAAAAGATCATATACATCCTAACCTCATGCTTTCTAGTTCCATGCTTTGTCTGGAAAAATAAACCTAACCGCATGATTTCTAGTTCGCATGCATTTATTCAGAAAATAAGATAATATTAAATAAAATAAAAAGACTCAACATGTTTTTCCTTGTGTTCTTACAAGACTCATTTGGGTTAGGTTCTACTTAAACTCTAGTTTTAGGTTTGCTATATATTGGGTTTTGGCTCTAGAGTAAAAAGGGCCAGCGAGTTGTCCTTTGTTGGTGTCCTCTTGGACTGCTAAACCCTCAATCCTGGTCCATTACAGACTTTCGGATTAAGTTCAATTCAAAGGAACACACTTCCTTATGTCCATACGGAGGTGAAAACCACGAGAGGAACATAAGGTGTGAGCTCAAAGAATGGTCCCCTATCCCATACGAAGGTGAAAACCACACGAGGGAGTAGTTTCTCATTCACTTAAACAAGATAAAGAGAGGGGGTTTTAGCTCATGTTATGAATGCAGTGCACAGTGGGAGAGGAAAAGCATAAAAAGAAATAAAGTAATATATACAACGTATTATTCTATTCTAATGACTCAAATTAAATATGTACATATAAAAAAATAAAAATTAGTAAAATAATAAAAATAACTAAAACAAAATTTAAAAAAATTATTATTTACTGAAAAGAAGAATAATTAATAAATTGGTAGTTGGACTCTCATTTTTTTTTTAAAATCCTCAGTGGAGTCGACAAGCTATGGAGACGTTTCTCTGCCCGGCGACGGAGAGTGCAAATAGTACACCCCAAACGGTGTAACTAGTCTCGAAAAAGTAAGTATTTATCCTCCATGAATCAGATAAAACACCAAATTGTAGAGTCGTCACCAATCTTTTAATTCGGTGAGTTTGGTCACGAAAATGTCATATTATTTTAATAAAAATTCCTAAGAATAATATTAGAATAATACAACTCGGGTCTGCTTACCAGAAAAATGAGTTCGGTAGTCGGTTACGTATGGGGAATGATTAACACCCCAAAAAATGCCCAAAATTGGTACCGTTATTTATTAGTTAGTGTCTTTGCAGTCAATGATAAACTTGCTTTCTAAATTTAAATTTAATATAGATAATTACTAAATAATACAAAACATAAATATTACTTATTTTATTATAATATTTAATATCAAAATTATAAAAGTATAAATTATGTACAATAATAATCCTAAAGTACTAATAATAATAATTAATATAACAATAATTAATATTTAAAACATAAAAAAGTAATTATCTTAATTCGAAATAATACTATTATTATGTATTAAGTATGTAGTTTACCCTAATTTACTTATACATGATTAAAACACGAACTATTAATGTTTAAGGGACTAAACATGTTATTTAACCTAAATATGTATATATATATATATATATATGTAATAATGACTAAAATAAAAATTAATTAAAACTTGAAAGCTAAATTAAAATATGTTGAAACATGCTTTTCAGTTACTAAATCGAATAATTACAAAAATTACAAGGATTACACGTATAATTGAACCTTGCGCGAATTTACGCCCCTCCTAAAACGACGTCGTTCGGAAATTAGAGAGACGTTTCTCTCATTTCCTTGTTTTGCTTCTCTCTCTTAGAGAGAGAAGCTCTCAACCCTCTTTAGGATTCCCTCACCAGAGGGAATCCGACCACCGTCGACCACCTTACGCCAGTACCAACACCCACCGCGTGGTGGCCGGAAATTACCAAAATACATCAAAATGACCCCTTGGCCGTCCTAAAGCCGATTCTGGTGACCGTTTCTTCTAAAAACTTTAAACCGACGTAGATCTAAGAGTTATACCTTCGAAACTTGGCTTCTCCGGTGGCGTTTGAGATCTCCGACGACTGTAAGGTTTCCCTCTCTTTCCCTATTTTATGATTTTTAATGGTTTATGTTGCTGCCTTGGTTTGCTTGCTTTCTCGTTGTTGTGGTTTTCTTTGCAGGATCGGGCCATTTATAGCCCTCGTCGAACCATCCTTCGGACTGGTTAAAAGCATGAACCCCGATGAGTCACCGGAGCTACGATGGTGACTCACCCTAGGGGTGATTAGTTGTGTGGTGGAGAGACTGGGTGCATTAAATGCACCCAGATCTTGCTTCGATCTGAGATGATATGGCATCATCGTGGCACGCTTGGGTTGGGGAGTTCGTCAGCGGAGTCATCATTATCTCTATGGCGACGCCGGAATAGCCCTAGGGTTGCGATGGGCACCCTAGGGTTTTTCTGGTTGCACTGGTGACCGCCGATTTACTTCCTGGATCGGATGGTTGTGGAGGAACGGCGGCTACTAAGAGGGTAAACCCTAACTGATGGAAGATCTGGGCCTTCCATCTTCATCTGCATCGAACGGTTGAGGAAACTTGCGGCACTGGAATATGTGTGAAACCCTAAACTGAGCTTAGGCCTGCTCCTTGAGCCTGCTTTACTGCTTGAGTCGGATCTGGTTTGAACCGAGTCTGTTAGGCTATTTGGATCAAATCTAGTTGTAACATGGGTTTTTGGGCTATGCTTGTAATTAGGTCTTCGGGTTGTAATTATTTTTATCTGGGGCCTGTAAAATTGTAACTATTAAGAATAATAATAATAATAATATAAATATATTTATTATATTTATTACGTATATATAAACGCCACTCGCACGAAAACCATTGTCGACAGATAGCTTGAGATTTGTCAAGGGTGATCTGTTTGAGGCATTTCAGGTGGTTGAAATTTTTAACAATCTAATACCTTCCTCCCCCAATACCTTACTTTTGGAAATTCAGGTTTTTTGTTGTCTCTTCTGAATCAGTGATGATACTATTTCCCTTAACTCAGAGATGAATGTTGACAGAGTACTAATTTTTTTGTCGGATAAAAGTTTAAAAATGACTCAGTTATTGTATAATTATGATGAATGTCAACAGATTACGGAGATCTTTTGTTGGATACAAGTTTGAAAATGACTTCCAGTGTTTGTTTGATTATATCTTCTGATTTACACTGGAGATTATGATGTCTAATTAATATTTCAAATTCTAAATATCTCTCCCATACATCACTTGATCTTTCTGGGTCTGGCCTAGAGTATCTAATTGGCGTTTTTGGGTATCAGTTGATAAGTTGCGACTTTGCATGCAGAATGAAATATGTCGAATGAGATTGGATGATGCAGTGCTTGATGAACTTGTTCATGAGTACTGTGTTTACAGGGGAATTGTGGAATCTGGTATTTTCATTTCATCTAGTTAAACTCTTAACATCAATTTATTTTTACTATACATGTCTTGACTGTAATGCTGATCAATTTATCCTTTCTCAGGAATGAGCACACTTTCTGAACCTGTGAAAGGTAATCAACTAGAGTCCACCAGAATCTTCCATTGATGTGGATCATAGAGGCGCTAAGCGTTCAAATAGTGAAACTTCTGCTACTACTGATCTGAGCAACATGCAAGGAACTGATGTCAAATTAAGATTGCTTCTGAGCCCACCAATAACCACGAAGATTGTAGCCCCAGTGGGTCACATCATTCTGAAAATTCAAGTCTCTTGAGAAACTGAAGCCATGGACCTGGCGAAAGAAGTAAACGTAAGAGATGGAGGAGAAGATGTGATGAACTGGATTTTACTTCTGATAATCATTTTAGTCAATGCGGAAAACAAGAGGTTAGCACTGCATTACAAATTGCCAGTACAAGGATATCAAAGTTATAACAGTTACATTTTGGAAATTTTTTGTGTTTTACTATAATTGATAGGTAATAGCATAGTTTTTATTGTGAAGGGAGTGGAAAATACCAACTTGGAAGAAAAATATGAAATTGTTCTTCGGATGAAGGAGCTAGCTAGCAGGGGAATGGCTGCTGAGGTCGTGGAGGAAATTAATGCATTAGATCCAAACTTCTTTGAGCAAAATCCTGTTTTGTTGTTCCAATTCAAACAGGTTAGTGTAGTTTGTACTGGCTGTAGCTTTAGCCTTGAATATTAAAAATTCCAGGTAAATGTGTCTAAATTGCCAATAAGATGCAAAGAATTTTAGCTTGAGCATTCTGTTTGTTTTAGGTTGAGTTTCTGAAACTGCTTGGGTTGGGTGATCATTCTGGTGCTCTAAGGGTTGCATGCTCCCATTTAGGCCCCTTGGCTGCTCGTGACCCCAATTTGCTGAAGCCCTTGAAGGAGACTTTGGTACAATTGCTTCGCCCAAGTGAAGATACACTTGTGACAGGCTTGCCTTTACATGCTCTTGCAAGTTCACTTCAAGTACATTAAATTTTGCAACTATCTCAATTTATTTACAGATATTTTCGTGTTTTGTATTTTTGAAACTTAAGTATACGATTTTCTATCTTGGTTAGGTTGCTTTTGGGAAGAGGCTTGGTATCGAGGAGCCTCAGCTGATGAGGACACACACTGAATTTAGTCCCTGTACTTCTCAGATTTAAAAATTCATGTCTAGTTAACATAGTTAAAATTCTCTTGCTAAATTTGTTGATGTGGCATTTTGAAATAAATAAAAATAGCAACTACATAGTCATATAACAAAAAATTGACATTGTAATGGACTTGAGTTTACCATAAAATTTGTAACGTTCAACTGACTTGAACTTTTAAATCCGAAATGTAGAGGGATCAAATTCCTAAAAATAAAAGGACTAGATTCCAAATATAAGAAGAGTGCAGGGACATGGACAACATTTTAACCAAAATGATAAAAGCATTTGTTTTAGAGAAAATAACTTGAGTGACCGAAAATGTCTTATAATATATGATTTTAACCAATTTTTTTTGGGTTTATAAAAATAACCAACGAATTCGCAACAAGAATTTACATTTCGTAACATAAATTTGTCAAATTCGCAACTCATTTTTTAAATTCGTAACTCGAATTCGCCAATTTCGCAACTTTAAGACATTGAACAAAAACAGAGGTTCAAGAGACTGTTCTTGTTGTCTCAACCTGATTACTTACTGAACCGATTCCCATGAAGTTCAATAGAGGTTTCGCTCCGGAAATCAGAAATATGGCTTGGAGGAGACCAAGGATGCCACCAATAACCAGTGCTATCTCCGATCCGAGCTCGTCGAGTTTAAAAACATGTCTGCTCATATAATTGCAGAATATCACACATTAATCCTTTGTTATTATCTGTTAATGGAAACTTTTCAAAGAGATAAATAAGTCCGATTATAAATGCATGCAAATGCAAAGCAAATTCTGGGAAACCTGCCTGATACCCTCGAGGAAAATGAAAACGGGAAATCTCATCTTAACACTAGATGGATATAGCTCATCTTCTCCGGTCATCTTCTTCGTAGAACCGAGTCCCTCAGCCTGATTCAACCACCTAAAAGATGATAAATTGTTGAAAACCTGGGAGGGGGAAGGAAATAATTTATAATAAATTAAACAACCCTATCACTTATATTGTTTATGCAATTTTTCCATAATAATAGAAAGAACCGTATATTGTTCTACCTAATTCAACGTCCAGAAGAAACACTGAGTTGCGAAATTAACAAAGATATTTTCCCATTTAGTCGATGCTTGAATTCATGTTAATTTTTTTCAACATGGGGGGCCTCCCTGTTAGGTATGGCTCATAAATATACCAGTAAAGAGGACAGGAGATGGAGCGGAGTGAGCGAACATCAACTGTCCTTACAAAGAAAGTCTCGTTGTGGGGTTACCAATTATGTGGGTTGGGGGTGCGGGGGCAAAGCCCCCGCGGTACGGTACAGGGTTGATTTTGTAATTATGTACCAGGGTTTTCTATTATAAATAGAGATGTAACCTAGACCTAAAATATCATTGAATAAAACTTCTAGCGCCGCCTAGGCACCGAGGACGTAAGCACATTGCCGAACCTCGTAAAATTCTCGTGTTCTTTCGTTTTTCTTTACCCGTTTTCGTCAACAATTGGTATCAGATGTCAGGAGCAAAATTCGAAGTCGCGAAATTCGATGGTCAGGGTAACTTCGGATTATGGCAAACGAGGGTGAAGGATCTATTGGCGCAGCAAGGGATCTTGAAGGCTTTGCGACCTACAAAGCTGGCATCGATAGATGAGGAAGATTGGGAAGAATTGCAGCAGCGAGCGGCAGGAACCATACGATTATGCTTGGCGGACGAGGTCATGTATCACGTCATGCATCTATCGTCTCCAGACGAAATTTGGAGGAAGTTGGAAAGTCAGTTTATGTCCAAATCCTTAACGACAAAACTGTATCTGAAGCAGCGGCTGTATGGGCTGAAGATGCAGGACGATCACGATTTGGCGCAACACGTGAATGTCTTCAATCAAATCGTTTCTGATCTGGCTCGGCTTGATGTGAAAATTGAGGATGAAGACATAGCGATGATTCTGTTGTGTTCGTTGCCTTCCTCTTACGAACACATGGTGACTACTCTTACATATGGGAAAGAGACTATCAACGTTGAGGAGATTACTGCAGCCTTGTTGGCTCAAAACCAGCGGAAGCAGAATGCAGGGGAAAGCTCTCAAGCCGATAGCTTATATGTCAAGGGTAATCGAGATCGTGGACGGAAGCCAGAGAAGGCAGGGTCCGGGAAGCGGAATTCCAGATCCAAATCCAGGGATAAGAAGACGATTCACTGTTACAAGTGCAAGGAGACGGGACATATGAAGCGAGACTGTCCGAAGTTGAAAAAGCAGACTGATGAGAAGCGTGATGGCTCATCCAAGTCTGTGAACGTGGTCGAGGATGATACTTCTGATTGCAGTGAGGGTGATATGCTTTCTATTTCAACGACACAATTGACGGATGCTTGGATTCTTGATTCTGGATGTTCTTATCACATCACGCCAAATAGGGAATGGTTTTCGACATACAGGCCGGTTAATTCTGGTTCGGTTTATTTGGGTGATGATCGATGTTGCAATATTGTTGGTATTGGTGATGTCAGAATTAAGATGCACGATGGCTCCGTTCGGACGTTGAGTGGTGTTCGACATATCCCAGACTTGAAGAAGAATTTGATTTCCTTGGGCACTTTGCACAAGAATGGTTTTATCCCTAAGGCTGACGAGGATAGGGAAACCATTCGGATTGTTAAAGGAGCATTGACTGTGATGAAAGGCAAGATGACTGCAGGGAATATCTACAGATTGTTAGGGAGTACCGTTGCAGGTGGAGTTCACTCTGTTGAGTCCTGTGATGATACGACAAAATTGTGGCATATGCGCCTTGCTCATCTTAGTGAACGTGGTATGGCAGAATTACACAAGAGAAACTTGTTGCATGGTGTCAAAAGCTGTAAGCTCGATTTTTGCAAGTATTGTGTTCTTGGTAAACAGACTAAAGTCCGTTTCAAGACTGCGAAGCACACAACTCAAGGGATTCTTGATTATGTGCATTCTGATGTATGGGGGCCTTCCACGACATCGTCTTTGGGTGGATCTAGGTACTATGTTACTTTTATTGATGATTTTTCACGGAAAGTTTGGGTGTATTTTTTGAAACAGAAATCTGAAGTTTTTGAGAAGTTCAAGCTGTGGAAAGCTGAGGTAGAAAACCAAACAGGATGAAAAATCAAGTGTTTGCGGTCTGACAATGGTACGGAGTACACAGATTCACAGTTCCTACAATTCTGTAAGGAGCATGGGATTCAGAGGCATTTTACAGTGCGCAAGACACCACAACAGAATGGTGTTGCGGAACGAATGAACAGGTCGTTGAATGAAAGAGCCAGATGTTTGCGGTTGAATGCGGGGCTTCCCAAACACTTCTGGGCTGAGGCTGTTAACATGGCGTGTTACCTTATCAACAGATCGCCAAGGGCATCGCTGGCTGGGAAAGTTGCAGAAGAGCTATGGACTGGTCATGATGTTAGTTTTGATAACTTACGGATTTTTGGTTGTCCTGCTTATGTGCATGTACCTGCTGATGAGAGATCCAAACTTGATGCAAAATCGAAGGAGTGCATTTTTCTGGGTTACAAGAAAGGTGTCAAAGGATTCAAGTTCTGGGATCCAGTTGCGAAGAAAGTTGTGATTAGTAGAGATGTCGTTTTTGATGACAGTCTATGTTGCAGCAGAAGCAAGACACGACAGTGGTAGATTTCGAGCAGTTTCCAGTTGAGAAACCAGAAACTTCTCAACCGACTTCTGGTGGTTCCACTACGGATGATTTGCAGGATTATAGTCTCGCCAGAGACAGGGTGAGACGGACGAATATAAAGCCTCCAAACAGATTGGGTTTTGAAGACTTGGTATCTTTTGCACTTACTGTTAGCAGTGATGATCCAGTTACTTTTCATGATGCCGTTACTAGTCAGGAAAACGACAAGTGGATGGCAGCCATGGTTGAGGAGATGGAGTCTTTGAATCACAATCGCACATGGGAGTTAGTTCCCCTTCCTGAGGGTAAGAAGCCGATTGGTTGCAAATGGGTGTATAAGAAGAAACCAGCAGTAATAGAAAAAGAGGGGGAGAAGTTCAAGGCTCGTTTGGTAGCGAAGGGTTTTTCACAGCAGAAAGGAGTTGATTATGATGAAATCTTTTCTCCTGTGGTCAGGCACACTTCAATCCGAGCAGTACTTGCATTGGTGGCTAGTTGGGATTTGCATTTAGAGCAGATGGATGTTAAAACTGCTTTTTTGCATGGTGATTTAGAGGAGCATATCTACATGCGGCAACCTGAAGGTTTCACTCAACCTGGAAACGAGCATTTAGTTTGCAGATTGAAGAAATCTTTGTACGGGTTAAACAGTCTCCGAGACAGTGGTATAAACGGTTTGACTCCTATATGATCAAGATTGGCTACAACCGATGTGAGTATGATTGTTGTGTCTATGTTAAGAGCCTTGATGATGGTTCTTTTATTTTTCTATTACTGTATGTTGATGATATGTTGATTGATGCGAAGAACATGGATGATGTTATCGGTTTGAAAACTTTATTGAGTCAGGAATTTGATATGAAAGATTTAGGTACTGCAAAGAAAATTCTTGGAATGGAAATTTGCAGGGACAGAGACTCAAGGAAACTGCGGCTATCTCAACGGGGTTATGTTGAGAAAATGCTAGAAAGGTTTGCGATGAGCAGCGCGAAACCAGTTAGCACTCCATTGGCGAATCACTTTAAGCTCTCATCAGAACAGTGCCCTAAGACAGATAGGAAGCTGAAAATATGGCAAAGGTTCCGTATTCTAATGCTGTTGGCTGCTTGATGTATGCGATGGTATGTACTCGTCCTGATTTAGCTCATGCTGTTAGTCAAGTTTGTAAGTACATGTCTAAACCTGGTAAGCAACATTGGGATGCAGTCAAGTGGATCTTTCGGTACTTAAAGGGTACTGTGGGACATGGAATTGTTTTTGGGAGTCAGCGGGATAATCCTTTGGTTGTAGGATATGTGGATTCAGATTATGCAGGTGACTTGGATAATAGAAGATCTACGACAGGGTATGTGTTTACTCTTGG